GTGGGACGTTAAAGAACCCACACACTCTTCGTAAAGAGTAGGGCACGTAGTGCCCGGTGTAGTGGTCTATCTCACTTTCACACTCATATATGGGGGCATCATCACTCATTCCTTCAGTACTTGTAAACTGCATCTTAAGCAGTCTGGCAAAGTCCCCCAACCAGTGTTGTAAATTATCCCTGAAAAGCCCTGAGGGGAGTGGATAATAAGATAATTACAATTACACCTGACTGTATCGCGGGCTCATTTTTCTATCCATTGAGGTCACCCATAGCTTAGAAAATTTATCCATCCGAGAAAATTCGGCAATCACATAACCGTACATCGACCACCCGACCTTCCGTCCGTCCGCACCACAGGCATACCAATGTTTAATCTCACACTTTCTAGCTAGTTTGAGAGCCTGCAACCTGATATTGTACATCCATGTTTTGATTAATGGACAGCTGTCAAAATAGTGTTTCTGCTGACCAGTACCGCCTGACCGTGTCGCGGGCTAAGGTATCGACCCACTGAGTTCGATTGTTTTTTGAAGTAATCCGCTGACAAGTTGCTACTTTTCAAATGATAGCAGGCTCAAGTTCAATTTTTTTAAAATGCATATAAAGTAAGTCGTGTTCATGAGCCGCTCCTTTAAAATTTTGATTTCGAAGTGACCTCAGACGCGAAAATTCAACCGGCTTTTACATGCAGGGAAGGCAATCGTTTTTGACTTTTCTCACTGTCACGCGTTGATCACGCTCTACGTCCAATTTTTATGTTCTGATTGGTCAAAACTTGACAGGTGAGTTCATGCGGAAAATTTATGCAGCGTCTGGAAACTTGTTTACTTTGAGAGCTGAAGCTGACAGAGTTTTGTGTCAACTTGTGTTTTTAACTGTCTTTTTCCACTTGCTGTACAAAATGAAATACAGCTGCTATCAAGATTGTTCTGCAATTCATGGCTGGTTTGTTTATTGCGCTTTTTGTTGACAAATGCACCGCTTGTCAAAGTCATTGGAAATCCGATTTCGGATGGCATCGTTTTCAAAAATGAGCCTACTCACTTGCCCTTGCTTGAGGCGTAAGAGGGTTGAAAAGTCTCAAGCGATTCCTGGAACACTTGATGACCTTCAGAAGCAGCATCTCGACTGGTAAGCCTGAGCAATTATTGTCTTTGATGTGTTTTCGGTTTCCTGATGTGTTTTTTTTCGGTTTCCTGAAGTCGAGCGTATTGTTTATGCGGCTTAAGTTTATACACGAGCAATGATCTAACCTACAATAGTATCAGGTTTAAAAATCCTTTAGACGTCTTTTGACCGCAAATTCAAAGAAAAGGTTCCGAAGAATATTTAGTTATGATTTTGGCTGTAAACAGAAAGCTCTGAGCGATTTTCTTGCCTCGAGTTCATCTTGAAAAAGAGCAAACACCGGGAAGCCGGCTTAAAACATAAACAAGCTTTATATGCTTACCTGACTCATGATTTTCAGAGACACTTTACTCTCAATACTTCTCTTCGTGAATGAAAATTATTGTCTCTGTACATGTTTCACCGAATTATATTTATTTTATTGATTGTTAGTAGTCCCTCTCGTAATTTTTATCGCTGCACCGGTTGTTTCGAGTCGAACATAAACATCGCGTGCAGGAATACTCAAAACGCCGCGCGTAAATAATCACTAGCTTTTAAAGATTACACATAACAAGAACACAAACAGTTTTACAAATAAAAGGAAATGAAACCTAAACATAACAAAATCTCTATCATGTTGAAGCGTAAATGGTAACTCTTTTAATCGCACTGCAAATTTGGTGCCTGTCAAAAGTGAGAAACCGTCCGGCTGGCCGAAAAGGTGATTTTGGGAATTTTTTTCATCGTTTTCACTAAAAGCCCATAATTATTAAACTGCATATCACATAGGACCAGATTTTTCTAACTGAAAAGTCCCGGCATTATGGAATTCTCTTCATGAAAACGTTTTATAATGTGGTCAATGCTATAATTTGTTGTGCAAAGGAAGGGCGTGCTTTGATCACAGGTAACCCAGGCTCACTAAAAGTGCCATGTTCGGATTTCATAACATGGTTAAATATAAATAGATTTAGCCAGGGCTAAAAGCGAGGCTCCCATTAATAAATTAATAAACTTGTATTCCACAATTCAGTTAACTTTAGAGCACATTCATGTGACTTTTCAGGGAAAGGCTAAGTGATTTTAGACAAAAATAATTTGCAAACAACCTCAGAGTGAACCAAATCTTACAACGAGTTGATGGCCTCATATGTACACCCAAAAACTGGCAATCGTCTTCGATCACATTTTTTAAGAGCCACAATGGCTCTTGATCACCGTAGGTTAATTATAGGCCTGGAAAAAAGTTCCGGCCGAATTTTTTGCGTTCGACAAGTTTACTTTACAAAATATTGCCAACAAATCTGGGTTCTTGTAAACCAACCTTATATATCATTTATACATCACATCTGAGGTGAAACAGTACTATGAGGCACTGTTTTTATCATACAGACCTCGGACAACAGAATGCAGTATTTGACAGTTTTGCAATACAAATTGCATCATTCAATATTCAGGACGATCAAAGCACGCGTGGGCTTTAGCTAAACCGTTAAAAAAATTTCCAAAATCACCTATACGGCCAGCCGGTTCTGACTTTTGCAGTGCTAGCTGTGGTGAGTGTTTGAATGAACATTAACAAAGTTAAGCTCCAATATAATAAAGAATTTATTATGTTTATTTTTTATTTTAAAATGGTTTAAGGTAATTCCCTTAAAATTGTTCTACTATCAAACTTCTTTTTGAAACTTGGCATAATCAACATTCATGATATGAACAGTAAAAAAATGCAATAAAAAGATGGGCTCACCGTGCTTGTTTACGCGTCAGCAGGCTCTTAAACTGGGGTATTTTTATTGGTTGCTCGTTAAAAATTCGAATCCCCTTCTTACAGAATTAAGCCGTTGTTACTTGAAACACACAAAATTTTATCTTGAACATAAAGCTTCTTTTATTTGAATAAGCAGTATTACTTCATTTAATTCATTTTTGATTCCCTGTTGTGAGGATATTGCACTTTTTCGGACAGTTGTGTGGTTAGCTTGAAGTCCTCACTTTGACCCAAATACACCAAATACGAAACTATTTTCCCCCAAAAAATAATGTTCTACTATCAAACTTTTTTTCTTCTTCAAATATGTTCTTGATTAGACTGTTCTTAGCAAATACCTGGGAAAAAAATCGGGGGTCACCGTGCTTGTTTCTTCGCAAACTGCTGTGAAAGGTGATCATGGCTTTGAAATCGCAGTCAGGATGGATAATTTGCGCATTGGGGACTGGGGCGAGATACAAACTAAAGCCCATCGTGTTCAATGTATGCACTGGAGATCAAGCTCGTTTTCGGTTGTTTTTATGTGTTTGATATCGGCAACACAGAAATTCAAACTTGAAAAGAATACTTTAAATACCAAGGAATGAGGTAAGTCAAGATTTGATGAGATTTTGGAGGTATGAATCTCTATTTTGGACTATTTTGTAGCGCCGGCGTTCTGTTTAATTCAGTGAGATAGGGTTCGATTTTTTTTGCTTTTGCACAACAATGCTTGACAAACAAACTTGAACAAAAGATTATTGATTCCTATTCTTTATATGTTCGCTTGCTTGGTTTCTATACACAGCAAAATGTGATTCGGCAGCAAACTTCGTGTTTACATCAAAGACTGGTCTCTCACGCGTAGTTCAGGTGTTACGGTGGTGGGTCTTATTTTTCCAGAAATATTCGTCTCTCCACTCACTCTCGGAGATTGACCAACGTATGTACAGTAGCGATACTAGGCCAGATACTGGCTCATTAATGCAGTTGGAGAGCCGTAGAGCTGTCCCACAGGCTTCACAGCCCCCCATAATCCAAAGCCTCAGCCAGGATATTTTAATAATTCCACAACTCGACGGCAGCGAAGTGAAAAGCCACTACCGACTTCGGGATCACGCGCATTTCTTTCATTTTCTTGTTTTTCGATAGCAAACCAGGAGGCTGTCAGCCAATCTGTGGCATTATTATTGCGAATAAAAGTTTTAGCTCTGCAAAAGCGGCCCTTGTTTGTTCTTTTCGCGCTAGTGGGAGGAACTGCCGCCATCATGGATGTGGCAATGTGGCAATGTTATGCGCAGAGCAGGGCAGAAAAACCGCTGATTGGTTGCCGTTTTCGCGGCAGTTTGTGTTCTCCGCTGACCATCTTACAACGAATCAAGTAGTCTACAAAAGAGAGCAAAGTTTGAAGCCAAATACAGAGTTAACCATGACTAGTTCGGTGATTATGATCTGATATCCCCAAACTAGAACTCATTGACAGGCGATGTCAAGAGTTGTAGCGAAATCAGATCAGGAATACACTTTAGGGTGCTTGCTGAAAATGCGCGGGACAGTGTGTAGTTCATAGAGACATTATACGACCAATAGCTCTTAAACAATTTGCAAAAATAAGAAACAGGTGGAGTATTTAAGGTTCAAAATTCGACCAACCAAAAGGCTAAAAGCCAAGAAGCAAAATAAAAATACGTAAAAAAATCGAACAGTACGTTTTTCTGTGGCTTGCTGTTTTTGTTTTGCATCCCCTCGCGGTGAAAACACTCGAACGTAATCGCCGGTGAGAAGCTTCCACAAATGTACAGCCAATCTTACCTCTAAAAGGATCGATCCTCTTGCACTTAGAAGGTAGATAGCAGCGCTAAAATATATTTCCTTGGACAAGTAAAAAAAGGAAAAGATTTGTAAACATCAAACTCTTCGCCTACGGCTTGTGTCCACTTACTGACTGGTAGGCGCCAGCTTCCCGGCCTCATGCTTTGCGCGGGAAATTATGAATGAAACTGGAGACGCCGCTCGTTTTTTCCCGCTTCAAAAAGCTTCAAAAATGTCAAAAAATAGTTACCGACCGCTTCACTGTCAAGTTCCGGTCTTTTTGCGTGCGTTTCCGGCGGAAACTTCAGTCGAAAGTTGATTAAATAATGGAAAATGTTTGTGAACGTGGCTCCAGACTAAGAAGCGTGTCAGAAAAGTGTTGGGGTGCCACTAATTATTATTCGGGAAAAGAGGCTGTTTTACGTGGCTACTCTAGGCCGGTTTGGCTATGTTTTGGTCATGCAAAAAAATTGCAAGTGGAAAGTCAAAGGAGGTGCTGTTTTCCGAGTGAAAATGCCTGCACGCAAAGGAACAATTTACTGCCACGTCCGCAGAGGATTCTCACCGTAGCAGCAAACCTAGAAAACTACCAAGGAGGTGCATTTCTTTGCCAAGGCCACCTAAATCTCGTGGACGAAGCTCCCATATTTACCAACCACGCTCTCTACAAACCCCCTACTACGAGAAAGGTATGTTTCTTTTACACTCAAACAACAGTCAAAATGTAGAGAAACAGGACATACATTCTTAGTTTGTTTTAGAAAATATTCATATTTTGCATTAAATTTTGCCCTATACATTTGTAGACAAAATGTACTACTTCAGTTCTATGTACTACCCCAGAAAAGAAAATAACTTGGACGGATGGAACCTCTCAGACCGCCCCTTTGCAGAGTGTTAATGAGCTAGCAGAGGCAAAACAATTAATCACCAAATTACAGCGCGAAAATGCAGCATTAAAAGAAAGATGCAACAAGCTAGAAGGTATTGTATTGACGTACTCTTAATTTCCACACATTCAAAACAAAGACGACTAGTTTCAACCTTTATTAGAAACATTTTTTTTTATTAATTTTCAGAGCCAACTTTTGATGAGCAGTTCAAAACGTTCCACAAGTGTCTCACTAAACATTACAAGGATGGAGGGCAGCGGCTATACGACCCTGCAGACATGGAAAAATTTGCCAACAAGTGCACCCCTGGATTGTTCAACCGTGCCTTGTGTCTAGTCAAGAATGATGAAAAACAACAGCTTTCTAAGAAAAGACATGAAATACTGAGACTGCGAGTTGTGGCACTGCTTCATCAGCTGTCTTACTTTAGAAACCAAGTGTGTATAATAATAATAAAAAATAAAATAACATAATAATACTAATAATGATAATGGTAATGATAATGATAATAATAATAATAGTAATAATAATAATAATAATAGTAATAATAATAATAATAATAATATCAGGAACCATACTTTAGAAAGCCACTTAAATTAAATTAAACACCATGGTGTGTAACAGACACAAGTGTTGCTTGTTTGTTTTCAACAGAAAAACAATCCCTTACAACAAGACTGTGGGTTGCACTTGTCCTTTCATGGTGCCAGTGATGATGCTTTGACAGCTGGCTCACTTCTAGGGTTTAGCACTCACCCGAGAAGTGTGCTAAATCATAAAAAAGGATTGTCTGGAAAAAGCATTCACAAGACACAAGCGATCGTTGAGAGTGCCATAAAGGTACATGTATTTACGAACTGAAACAATTCATTATTAAACATCTGCCACTGCACAACACCCTGGCCAAAACAATAAGTTGACACAAGGTGAGGTGGCTGGATGTAAAGAAGCAGGGGCTAAATACAAGGGACAAGGACCATGTAACAAGGAGACAAAAACAACAAAAATAGAGTGATTGTATTTGAACCGTGAAACAGATATTAACAAACAGTGCAAAATAGCAAGAGGTAAACAAAAGAAGACAATGGAATTAATACATAATAGTGCGTAGTATTCTTCTACCTGTTTCACGGTTTAAGTAAAACGACTTTAATTTATCAGTCTATAGATGTACACTGATCCAGTTAAAAATTTCCTCCCCAACAGAACAACAACTTCCTCCTGCTCATTATAGATGATTTTCAGTGTGTCCAGTCTATAAAAGACCCCAAACAGAGCCAGCTGAGCAAGTGCCTTCACATGTGTACTGGAGTAGTGGATCACCAAGAATCTATACCGGCAATGCCAACAACAAGAAATGTCCACCGGGTTGTACCTGTCCGAATTGCTGGGGGTGCAATTGTTAACTGCCGGGGAGGAATTGATGCCAACAAAGTGAACGAGTTGTTTCAAGAGCATTTGTCAAATTATTTTACATTCAGTTATTTAGACTCTCTACCTGCTGATTTCAGCCAGTTTGACCTGACAAATGTAAACAAAAGTTTAGTTGAATTAAGGTATGATTTACAACAAATCAGAAACCTAAAAGTCAAGGTAGTGGTCTAATAGTCATTGGGTGCCACAAGCTTGTACAAAAAGAATAATATAACACTTTTAAGTAATAGATTTTAGTAATGTATTTCATCCAAACTTTTCATGTCATTTAACACTTTGGCATAAATCAATGCCACAGAAATTTTACAATTAACTGGCACCATGAATATCTTTGTTATAAATTCCCCCTCAAAAATGAAATTGGCAACTCCCAATGTCAATAACTAGTTTTACATACAGCGCATCATAATTTTTTTCCACATACCACTTTGCATTGTCTCACAATGTAGGAATTTGAAATGGAAAATTTAATATTGAATGGATAATTGACTTTCAAAAAATGTTGCATAAGGGTGCCAAAAAAGAGCATGTAGAATGTTTCATGATACAAACAATAACAAATACCTTGTAGAGTGTATACAGATGAGGCCAGACATGACTTGGATTTGCTGTCCAACACTTGGCTAGTTGACGAATTTGAACAGTCCCTTAAGAGCATGGCAAGTTATAGACAAGCAATGCAGCACCTCAATGAAGTTTGCCCATCACTAAGCGAATACATGGAAAAGAACCTACTGCTCTTAGCTGGTGATTGGCCAACATGGTACTACAACAAGAAGATTATATGCCAGGTTTGGCTTAACATTTTTAAAACACTTTTAGCATAAGGAACAATAATGAGCAAGGGATGGCACAATGGTGAGAGCACTCGCCTCCCACCAATGTGGCCTGGGTTCAAATCCCAGCATCGACGCCATATGTGGGTTGAGTTTGTTGTTGGTTCTCTCCTTTGCTCCGAGGGTTTTTTTTTTTCGCTGTGCACTCCGGTTTTCCCCTCTCCTCAAAAACTAACACTGCCAAATTACAATTCGACCGAGAATTAGGTACACAAGGACCACTTTGTGGATGTGCTACCTCTGAATCAATATATATTTAATATAATATTCACAGTATATTTCTGAAGTGAAATATTTCATGCGTAATGGGCAGTGAATATTTTACAACAACTTCTCTGTACTTGGTCAGATTGAAAATCTTTGAACAGGTTAAATTTCATAGAAGACATTTACATAAAATTCAGGGAAACTGAGCTGGTAGAAATTTCGTAACTGCTTTGCGTGTGACTTCACGGCTCATTACGCATGGAAGAATGCAGAGATGAATCTGAAATCTACAACTACCAACGGATTCAACTTTCGAATAATAAATTCATTAATGTAATCTTGGGGGTTATGCTTGACTTGACTGTAACACATTACAAAGGAAAAAAAAGTTTCAACCAAAGATAAAAATGAGCCACAACACATACTCAAGGGTAAATATTATTCAAAACTTGGGCAGTCCCAATAAGAGAACTGCATTTCAGGAGCAACAAAAAGAAACTACAGGTACGTAAACAAATACACACTGAGAGAGTCCACTCTAGTTAAACAGAAAACATTTACATGTCTGTTATTCTTAATTACTTAATAGTAATTAATAGTACATAAAATTTTAAAGTGAGAATAATTATTTTTATACTTTCAAAGTTTGATTATGAACATTAGCTTAAAAAAAAGTTACTTACTCTACAGTGGAAACCCGATGTTGACCCAGACAGAGTATTGTCAGTGGTGCCATGGCAGGGGCCCTTCCATATCTGCCTGAACTCACAAGAAGATGTTGTGGCAAATTTCCACTGTTTTTTTGAAAAGCTGTACAAACACTCGTTTGGTCAAAGAAAAGTGTTGCCTTCCAAGCCTAAACCACACAGAATTTCGACTCTCATCACTACAGCATTTGGTGGATGGCTGACTGTAAAAACCGCTGTTCTGCCTGCATTTGGACAATGCAAAGACCCAGAATATGTCCTTCTTGTGTTTCTCCTGGATGAATTGGTTCCACTTGTGTTTTACTTTTATTCAGTTATCTTTCGAGGTGGTGACCAAAGGAAGTGGGTTGATGCCATGATAAGGTTAGCCCTCATGTTTATCATCCAAAGGCGGCGTCACTATGACAAGGCCACCCTGTGTCAGTTGAGCGACCTTGTACACCAGCAAGAGGCCATTCCCAACTTCCAGGAGCTACTGGAGCAATGGCTCAATGAGCTAACAGAAAAGAAAGTGGAAGTTTTCCATTCACTTCTTCGAAGGTAACATAAATGTACCTAGGAAATTCAAGTGCATAAACGGTTTGTCAAACATTACCCAGTATAACAGACAGATCCTAATAATGTGCAATATTGCCCCAGGGGCAACATGTTTTTTAACAATGCCACATATTTTTTTTACCTGCAAAGTTCCTAAATGTGGTTTGAATAAAACTATTTTTCATCTGTGTGCTGTTGTTTTAAATGAAATTAGTCGAGGCCACAGCCCTTGATATGACTGTCAAATGACAGACAATGTCAGCGTGCAAAGACAGTTGTGTCCGATAGCCCACGGCTAGTGGATTTTGCTATTGGGCTAGTGATTCTTGTTCTTAACTTGCCCAACAGGCAAGTGCTGTTTTTTAGGCAAATTCAAATTACAGAAGGATTGGAATCAATCCTGCTAATCAAAAAGGGTTTTACGGCTAGTTGAAATGACTGGTGGGCTAGTAAATGCTAGCTACAGCTGCGGCATCTGTAAAACTGAGTTTCTTTGCACCCTGGAATGTCAAGGAAAATAAACTTTTGAAAAATTCAAATAAGCCAAAAGTGTTACATTAATTTCAGCTAAGTCACTAAGATATTTCATTGTCCTTGAATTGTCAGATCAGTTCCTCCAAATGCCACAGCCAGCCAAGTTCAGGCAGCTGCAAAGGCCATAAGTGCAAACAGATGTGCAGAAGACTTTTGTACCTGGTTCCTTACCAATAATCCAAGAGGCACGGTGTCCGAACCTAAGGGACCTATCAAACAAAGCAGCTGAGTTTCTTCTTGACTTGTTCATCTCTGTGAGGCAAAACCTTGGAAACTCTGCAAAAATACCCAGAGGACAAAAGAAATATCAGGTAGAATCCAATATGGCTGTAACAACCCATTCCATAACAAAACAAAGCATTTCCTATACAAGATAAACCTGAAACAAACCTTTATCTTTTTCCAATGCAGCCTTATTATCTACCCTCTCTTGATGCAACTGTGGACCAAAGAAGCTTCCCCTTAGGGTATGCCTGGAAGGGTCAAGAACCAGACCCACTGTTGGCTTGTGATGCAGCAGATTGCAGAGCAGATGACAATCTCCTACTTGCAGTTCAGCAGTTCAAGTTGTCTTGGTAGTTCCTCAAACTGTAACGATCATAACTACTCAATACTGTATGGTGTCAAGTGCCCCATTTGCTCTGAGCAACTTCCTTTAAGAATCCAAGAACTTGCAGACAGTTTCAACAAAGGTTTACTGGCAGGAAATGATGAAACTGACGGAAGCAATGATAATCATGATGACGACGATGATGATGATAGTGATGATGATGATAGCAAACCTGATACACTAGCAAATAAGATACTCATTAAAGCAAAACAATCCCTTTTGCATCTTCCACAAAGTGCTTTATTTAAGTACAGCAACAAAAATTCCAAGAATGTAAACTCCACCGACTCTACTGGAGAAGCAGTAATTGTTAATACTAGTATGGTGTGTGTCACATGTGGCAGGGTCTGTAAGAGCAAAGGGGGCTTGACTCAGCATCAGAACACCCACAAAGGGGTAAATAGTTAAGTGTTTCCCTGAAATGAGAATAACAAAACAATAATCATTTCCTTTTTTAGAAGCAAATCCAAACAAATAATACAAGCCCTTTGTTTCATGTAAAATACCTTTAATAGGAATAGGCATGATAACACAGGAGAGAAACCTTGAACAATGCCTTTGTTGTTGCCTTTGTCTTGCTATAGGTATCTCAAAACAATGCAACTAGCTAGATAACAAATAAGTGATCTTGTGCTTGCATTTGGAATTTGGTCCATACAATATTATATGAGAACTTTGCATTATAAAAGATTAACTCAGCCCAAGTACTATGCCAGTGATAGTCCTGTCGAGAATACTAATAAGGGACAATGTGATGTACAGGAGTAAGATAGTGTCTTCAAAATATTCGATGTTATTTTGAACATGTAAATATAATAAGATTAATTTTCACTTCAAAATATCACATTGTATATGGGCAAGGATTGTGTATAACTCTGCTAATTCTGGATACATGTAAGCTTAAAAATTCATCCTTAAAATTTCACCTTTCTTAAAACAACCTAATTTTGTACAGTAAAATCATTCCAAATCTATATCAGCCCAAAAACAAAGTTATTAACTGTATAAATCAGTTGGTATAAATTGATCTAAAGAAATTACAAATTGGACAACGCATACAAAAAAATAATTTCGCTTCTAGCGGAACTATGTAAACAATTCACACCAAGGAATTCATTGAACAGTGTGGATATATATAACCTAGAATCAAAAGCCCATTAAACTTGTAATTTAGGGTGCTATGAAGTGCTATTTTGTTGGAAAGTTTGGTTACTTTTAGCAATGGCTTCGCCAACTGTTAGGTGCCGCATTATACGCCTGCACGCAGCGCACGCTGCACCGCCGCAATCTCGTGGAGGATAAATAGCATTCAATGCAAATTTCGGTTGACTCATTAACTCTAAAAACGTTCACTATGTCAAAGAAGAAAAATGCCTTACCTTTAAACTCAGTTGTATAACCATCGGATCACCGAGACTTGTTGCAGGAAAACCAAACAATCGCGTAGAAGAAAGTTAATCGAAAAAAGCACATGGTTTGCTTGGCACGACTCCGTCCAATTAACGTAATACAATCACAAATATTACCTCCAAAGCGAAGCAAAACAAAATGATACTATTATATACAAGGCCTTTCAGTGATGTATTTCAACACAGTGCTCTTCAATTTTCGGCCAAACATCTCACATTCATGATCGCTCGAGTTCGGATCGCTCATTCTTTTGACCCAACTGCATCTGCATATGGTCAGCGGAAGGCGCAAGCGCATGCTCTCGGTGGAATTTTTTTTAACCAATCAGCGGTTTTTCTGCCCTGCTTATGCGCAGTAGACTGTAGAGGGTGCGCAGTGCAAAACAAGGGAATTACCTTAACGCGCGGCATTTTGAGTACTTTGGGAAGCGTTGTTCACTGAACGACTGAAAAAAATCGGCACAGCGATTAAAATTACAAGAGAGACTACTAATAATCAATAAACGAAAGAAAATTCGGTGAAACATATACAGAGACGACAATTTTCATTCAGGAAGACAAGTATTAAAGAGTCTCTAAAATCCTGAGTCTTCGAGCTTAAAGCTGAAGTTTTTGTTTTAAGCCGGCTACCCGGTGTTTGCTTTTTTCAAAGACGAACTCGAGGCAAGAAAATCGCTCAAAGCTTCTTTTACAGCCAGAATTATAACTAAAAATTCTTTGTAACGTGTTCTTTCTATTTGCGGTGAGAAAATGTCTAAAGACTTTTTAAAGATCTGTAAGCTTATATAAACCTGATACTCGGTCAGATCATTGTCTCAAATCTTACAAACGTGCGTAAACAAAATAGCCGCATAAACTACGCTCGACTTCATTAAATTAGAAATAAAAAACAAACATCAAATACAATAATTACTTAGGCTTACCACTCGATCGAGATGCAGCTCCTCAAAGGTATCAAGTAAGGCCAGTATCGCTTCAGACTTTGAAACCCTCTTACGCATTAAGCAAGGTGAAAACGAAAACGATGCCATCCGAAATCGGACTTCCAACTTTGACAAGTGACGTATTTCTCAACCAAAAACCCAATAAACAAACTAGCCATGGATAACAGAAGACTTCCGATAGCAGCTGAATTTCATTTTGTACATTCAGTGGAAAAGGACAGTTAAAAACAAAAACACAAAACTCTGTCAGCTTCAGCTGTCAAAGTAAACAAGATTCAAGATGCTGCCTAAATTTTCCGCATGAACTCACCTGTCAAAGTTTGACCAATCAGAGCATAAAAATTGGACGTAGAACGTGACCAACGCGTGAACATGGTGAGAAAAGTCAAAAGCAACTGTCTTCCCTGCCTGTAGCAGCTGACTGAATTTTCGCGTCCGAGGTCAGTTTGAAATCAAAATTTTAATTGTGCAGCACATAAACACAACATATTTCATATGAATATTTAAAAAAAATTAAACTTGAGCCTGCGATCATTTGAAAACCAGTACCTTGTCAGCGGATAACTTCAAAAAAATACTTGACCTCGATGGGTCGACACCTGAGCCCGCGATTCGCTCAAGTGATACTGGTCAGCGGATATCTTGTTTTGACAGCTGTCAATTGATCACAACATTGATGTCCAATATGTGTATCAGTTATCCTGTGCTCCGATCCCAAACTAGCTAAAAAGTATGCTTGAACATTGTTCGCGATCTAGTAAAACGATTAACTGGCCAGCGGATAGCTTCCAAATAAATCACGTCACCTCGATTAGCCTGCGTACCAAGCGTTTCCTCGGAGTTATTGCGCGAAAGTTAGAGCGGAAGCATAAAAGAGGTTGAAGGGGGAGGGGGAGGGGAGAAGAGGAAACGCTTGCCCGCAAACTCCACGATTCTGGAAAACGCCCCTTGATATTTCACGGTTCGGTTCATTTGTAAATTGACAGCTCGTCAAAATAGAAACATAACCAGGGGGGGTGATGAACTCGTCAATCGCTCCTATAGGGATCGCGCGGCGGATGATCTTGGCCATCGTGACGTCACGAGAAATTTATTCCGGGAACTTTAAATGGTTTCATCGAGCGAAATTGTTTCGTGGTTTCAAGTGGTAAAAGTCGAGACGTTGCGATGAAACGACCGAAGGTATGTGTTTATCTATTAATGCTATGTAGTAAAATTGCAATTTATTCTAGGAAAGAGCATTTCCATCGTAAAAAATCAAGAACTTCCCGAGATCGACCAGATGGTACACCTCATACCGGCGCGTATTTAGAGACGCATAACTAAAGAGCCCAGCAGAATTTAGTCTCGAGAAAAACAAATGACGTTAATATGGTATAGGTCTCTCAATTAGTGATAGAAGTGAGTCATCTAATAAGTTAGCAAAAATGATCAGTGGGATAAAAGTCGCAAACCTCAGGGATGTTTATAAAAATTGCGAAAGTGGCGTGGACAGGTCACGAAACATAGCGTCAAGGTGTTCATACTAGACGATCAGATTGTGTAAACAATTCATTAAAACTAAACAAATGTAAGAAGCAAGCGTTTTTTTTTTATAGAATATGGGCTATAATCTTCAAGGGTTTTGAAAGGATTTCCTGTTTGAGTCAAACGTATCAAAATGTTAATAAAACGTATTGAATCAAATCGTCGCGCGATAACCAAGTATATTATTATAGCTTATTATATTGCAACTTTTCACTATAAATTACGATTATTTTGTCAAAACTTTCATTGCTCATGATGGAGATAAGTTCACATTGCCTTTCTCTTTGCTTCTTCGCCCCACAAACAAAGGAGAACATGGTTTTTATCCTGTAAATAGTCAAGCAGAATCTATCACTAAGGTAAAGTGCCGTAAGCTAAAGTTTTTGATCAACATCAACATTTTTAGGGCTTTATGCAGAGAATCCAGGAGGAGGAGCCGTAGAAAGGATGGGTATGTAGCTTTGCCTTAATCGCTTTACACGGACACTAGTAAGCGTTTCAATGGTGTAATATTGAAAATGTGTTTCCTCGGGCGTCCGCAACTTAAAAATGAGGGGAAAAAATTTCTAAGAATATAAAAAATTGCAGGATTTTCATGCGATGAATGTCATCATCCTTCTCACACTTTTACAATATAAAAAGAGAATTTTTTAATGTTACATTTTTTCGGTTTTCCTTTTTGTGTAGTTCAATAAAGACACCAAAGTTCAAGAACAACAACATAGTTCAATAACTACAC